AAATATAAAAATAACCGGGAGAGAGAAAAAAGAGAGGAAAATCAGGGGGAGAGAGACACACACAAACACAACACGGCACGTAACACTTACAGTTTTCTGGTTTTGTCCGACTAACAGTCCAAAACCAAAATACAAGTATATTCAACTTACTGTCATACTCTACTGTGAAGAGCAGCAAAACCTTACATTTAAGACAGTTTTTTGTTTTTTTGCAACATAAATATTTACCATCAGCAATTAAATAATGTGCCGAAAACATAATTAACAATGAAAATACTTACGAGTTGAAACCCTAATAAAAGTTATAATCTTTCACATGTTCCATAAGTTCAGAGCTGTAAATTCTGCTGTGTAGATTCACACACTTTACAGCCTGTTCTTGTCTCACGGGGACAGATGTTGGTGAGGGCTCAGGCTGCGGGACGCTCTTGTTCCCCCAGAGAGGCTGCAGGCTCTGCTGATGCTACAGGAAACACAGCTGCGGGACGTCAGGCGCAGCTTGAGCTCAATGCGATGCCTAGTTGGAACAAATACATCAGAGTTTTCAGCCTGAGACAGCATTTTTTTATGTTGTTGTGCTTTTTGTTTCTTTCGCAAGTATCTGTTTTGGTTGCCCCACCGGGGACAGAGGGGAGGGACAGACATCACTGGACAGATAGGTGAAACATTTGTATGATTGGTATTAAATCCTGAGGTAAACAGTTTATCATGACGTAGCACACAGCTCAAATATATCAGCCTCCGTCGGCCTATATGAAAATGAGGAATTGTGTGTGTGTGTATAGCTTCATTTTGAAAGGCTATGTGCTTACACAATGTGTTATGTTCCCATGGGTCTTTGGTCAACATTTTGATATTACTCTCAATGACAGACCTTGTAAAAAATACAAGATCTTCCACCTTTGAACACGGGGCTCGTCTCACGGCGAGTATTTCTGTGTTTGTGACATCAGTAGCTGCAGTTTGCTTGTCGGGGTCTGCAGTTGGCTCATTCTCTGTGTCAGTGTCTTCAGGCTGCACTTGGTTTGGCATTGAGTGCTGTGAAAGGGTCCTTGCACCACGAGGACAGACCCACGCAGGCTAGTCGCTTCTCATCATGTTTCATCGGGATGAACTGCTGACGATATGGCATGCACAATATACTGTTGGTTATATTTATGCATTTCCATTACTAGCTTCTCTATCCCAATTCTAAAATCCACTTTCTTTTATTCCATTTGCAGATTATTTATGTTGGTTCTCTTGTCTGATTGCTGTTTTTGTATATTTGCATTTGTACCTGCATTCAACGGAATCTAGTAACTCTCTGTTTGTGTTTGGTTGCTCCATGTCGCTCAAATGACTCACTAAATACATAAAGTGTTGTACGACGATTATGAATTAACCTTACATGGAGACTTCTTTTAGAGTTAACAGCAAGCAGTTAGCTTTGATAAAAATGTAACTTTGAATTCATGTTTAGAATAATATCTGCTATCATTAAATCCTGTGGTAGTTCTGTTGCTTTCATACCACAACAAACAAGACAAAATGAGTTTGATAGGAGTGACGCAGACATGTTATGTGTGCTCTGTATACAGATATTCAATTGTAATGAATAATGATACTGTTATTGTGTGTCAGTGCACACGTGAGATGCTTCCCTTGAAGCGTCTGAGCGGATAGCCTTGAATGTAGTTTCCCCGTAACTCTTTTCCTTGGTGTAAACGTCAGAAATATATAGACGGCATATTTCTGACCTGGTCCATGTTAAATCACAAGAAACCCATAAAGCTCACTGCCTCAGTGTAACGGCTACAGTGTGTCCACGTTCTGTTTATTGGCCGGCGTCCTGTATACCCACCCTGCCTGCCACCTGACAGAATTACACTCTCAGCTCCACGAAGGTTATGCCAAACTGTCCTTGTTAAAATCACTAGCAGCACATTGAGTTATTGTGGGCTCTGCTGGGGTTTGCATTACTTATCTAACGATAAACAGATTAAATAGATCCCACTTTAATTATAAGCCCAATAGTACATTGGCTTGCAATCTGTATGTCCTCCAGTAAGCAGATGAGTTGCAAGTTTAGTTTGTTTTTGTGTTTATATTGCTGCGTGAAATAACTGAACGCTAGACTGTCTAAGGTTTCTCGTTCCAGTAGGCTTTTTATTTTTAATGTGTGACACTGCATGTTGTTTTGTTTGCCTCTTCATCGGGGCTGGCAGTTTGAAGCCATTAATGCTTTTTCAGTCTTGAACGAGCTGCTGGAAATAAGGAAAAGTTTGAGGCACTTTAAGCCATTTTGGAGGTATTGTTCATTGATGGTCTATTGTTTTATTCATTTATGAACTCATACATATCTACCAGAGCTGCCATCCTGACAGGAGAGGAAAAAAGGAATGACAGCAGGTTGGCATTCATTTTAGATTTATAACCCCCCTGCCATGACCCCCATTTCCTGCATTGATGTCCTGGGGAAATGTCATGTCAGATTCATGTTGGTTCGAAGTGATGGACAAGAGAGAGACGCCTCCATGCACAACACAGAAACACACTCTTGTACTCATGACGACATAAACTTCCCTGTCAGTCTTTGTTTGTTTTTGTTTTGTCACATCCTCGAGAGGACCAGTGAATCAGTTTCCGATCTAATTCCTTTCCCGCTGTGGCTTTTTCTCAGTTTCTGCTAAAAATGCCATCACGGAAAATCTCAATCTGTAGGATACTCAAAGGACGGTTTATGCTTCTAGGAAGATTAAAAAGGATTATGTAATTGCACGTTATGGAGGAGGTTCAGGGCCTTTAAGTAGATACAGATTAATCAACCAAGGTTGTTTTTGTTGCTCTTTTGTACATTTATAATGTTTTTAATTTGTGTTTTTTTATTTTTATCTTTAGTTGATCATCTTTTATTGTTAATTTCTCCAGTTTTTGAGGTCTTCTTTTACTCAGTGTTAGTCTTTTGAGTACCCTTTAGCCATAAAAAAGGCTGAATAAACTTGACTTAATTACTGAAATATTGGAAATACAGCTTTGCCTGCCTAAATTCAGCTTAACGAATTATACTTGATGTATTAAGTATTGAGTTTATTACAAACTGTAATGGAGAGAATGATACCATACCTCCAGACAATGTAAATCCCCCAAAAATCTGCAGAGTATTTTTGGGTTCCCGTTGATGCGTCCATCCATTGGCGTGACAGCAGCTCCCGTTCAGGCTGTCCCCCCTGGCCGGTCCGTCAGACGGTGTGCAGCAGGAGAGTGGAGGAGCATGTTTTCTCTGCCAGTCTGTCAGTGTTGGTCTATCTCAGTGTGTGGGAGCGGCCTTTGACCCGCTGCAGAGAGGCGTGTAGTGATGAGGCGGAGAGCCTGCTGAGCCTGTCGCACTCCTATCATTAGCATGGAGAGTCACGCTCCCCCTCTGCACCAACCATTGTTTTCCACTGTTTCTGTCCTTGAGAGGAAACATGCTTCGCCCTCAACAGACCACATTTGCTCCTTCTGAATTATGCAGCTAAGGATTCAAGTTTGACTGTTTTTGTTCCTATAAGGAAGAGATAGTTAAATTCTTGTGTATTTTTCCTGTCAATAAAGCTCAATTCTGGCCTTTATTTCAGCCTCGTAGCTGAGGGATGTTTTTTTTCTATTATCCCCGCTAAGCTGACAGCTCCATTTGGTGGATTTTTGCCGCAGTCGGTGTTCAGGGGAGTGACACATAGGTTACATGAGCAGCGAGCAGCAAGCAGCAGCAGGGGATGCCTAACAAGGGTTTGATATAAATTAGGCTTGTCCCAAGTTATTCCCTTTTGTCTCAATTTCCCATAAGGAAAGGATAAGGACGCCGTTCTTTGTAGAAATCAAATATTGTCCTTTAACAGGCTTTTGTCGGATGTCTGAGTAATTTGCAGCTGCCCTGTAACCGTTTGTATTTTAGCGTAAAAAATTGTGTTTTACATCTTTGGAAACTGACCAGATAAACTTTGAATATAACGTATTTTCTTCCTTTCCATTTTAACGTCTATTTTGTTCTTGTTCTGTCTGGTTTCTCAACCTACCACCTTTATTCTTGTACAGAAATCCGTTTTTCTTTTAGTTTTTTTCATTAGATTTTTTTAAATCACATTTTATATAGTGATTCGGCTGCACTATTTCTTACTGCTCTTAATATTTTTCATCTTTCTAAAGCATTTTGACTTGCCTTGTGTTGAATTTTGCTATACAAATAAACTTGCCTTGATGCTGCAGTGGTTCTGATTCAGTCACTTTGACAAAGGTCAGGTCTGTAATGCAATGTAATCCAGTTTCCTTTTGTCTTTTTTTATTGTAATAAGAGAGGTCATTTATTTCCCTACACACCTGGTGATGATTACTTTCATGCTCTATAATGTCACATGACACATGTCCCATTACAAATTCAAGTGAGTGAGACACTGACTTTGAAACATTTCATTCCTCATTATTTACTTAGTATGAAAACATGGACCTAGTGCAGATTAACAAAGTGTAGAGCTGTTCCCTGAGTCTCGTACTTGTACATTTGTATAAACAAGTCTCTACTTAAGGGAATCTGCTGAACCACTTCCGTCCTAAAACCTAAATCCCCCCCCCCCCCCCCCCCCCCCCCCCGCTGAGCCTGGATCAGCCCTGGGGAGGCTCGGAGGTGGCTGAGTGCTGCAGGTTGCCAGCGTGTGCCTGACGAGAGATGAGACCCAGTTTTCTCTAACACAGCCAAACATCTCCGGAGATTTTATTTGATCTCTTTCATATCTCACGCTCCATCTGCCGTGCTTGTTTTGTAGCTGAGAGTCTTTGCTGCCATTTATCAGTGCAAAGAGAGCTGTTTCACAAATAATACATCTTGAATAAACAGAATATAATTGGTTAATCTTTTAGCATTATTGGTATGGAACTGTAAGGGTTTTTAAAAATATTTTTTGAGGTAATTCATTTGTATTCTGCTGTTCTCTAACATTGAGCTCCAGTCCCTGGTTACTGACCTGTTGTTTGTTGTGCTGCAGAGGGAGATGAAGGAGCAGCTGGCCACCCTGCAGGACAGTGAGAAGGGGCACACTGAGGCCCTGCAGCTCCTGCAAAGACAACTCACTGAGACCAAGGTACTGAAACATATCTGCTTTTTAAAAACAAATAATTCTCATTTTTAGATATATGCTCCAGCAGCAATCATTCAGCTGCATATGGCTGCAACTAAAATAGTTTGCGCTATCTTGTTTATTGAAATGTCAGAAATAGTGAAAGATTGCTATTATGGTTTCCCAAAGACTAAGGCGAAGTCATGCTTTATCCCACCAACAGATAAAAGTATTCGGTAAAACCGAAAAGCAGCAAATACAGTCTACAGCTGAAACATCAATGAATCGCTATCAACAAGATTGGTTATTTTCTAGTATTATGTCACTTTATAAGCAGAAATACTTCCAAGTTCAAACTGTTTAATTGTGACCGCTGTTGCATTTTTCACTTAATTAATATTAAAAAGAAAATATTTGTAACCCTCGAACCTACTGGTGGACACCGGTGGTCAGGGAAGCTGTCCGACTGAAGAAGGAGGCATTCAGAGATATGTTATCCTGGGGGAGTCCCGAGGCAGTTGCAAGGTACCGACAGGCCCAAAGGGCAGCAGCCTCAGCCGTGGCCGAGGCAAAGCAGCGGGTGTGGGAAAAGTTCGGAGAAGCCATGGAAAAGGACTTTCGGGCGGCACCAAAGTTGTTCTGGAAAACTCCCACCTCAAGAGGGGGAAGCAGGGAACCATCCAAGCTGTGTACAGTAACGGCCCAAGTTGCTGCCGGAGCCTGAGAAACTCCACCGGCGGTCATACGATGGCTTAAGATGCCCTCACAAATGGCCCGATGTTGCTACGATCACAGCCGAATTTGAACATTTCCTTTATCGTGTGTCCATCGGGTTGTTTTATTGCACAACAAAATCATGTAAACATATTATGTAAATAACCCAATTTGTGTTCTGTGAAACTAAAAAGGATATAATATATTATTTTGAAGGACAGTTGACAGGAAGTTGTTGTTGCTATGGAAACAACATTACGGAGAAAACTTAATATTTTCTACATATAAAGACGGATAAAGTAAAGAACAAAGTCTGAAGATATCAGTACAGTATCATAGTACTGTAACATAATTGTTTTTGGTACTTTCATTGCAGTTGTATGTCTTAAATGTAATGTAAATGTTGCCTTCGTGTGTGGTTCGGGGCCATCTTCGTGCGAAATTCACAATTCCATATTCGTGTGTCCATCGGGTGTCAATTTCGGGACAGTGTGACAGGGGCTTTAGGGATAAGGTGAGAAGTTCAGTCATCCGGGAGGGACTCGGAGTTGAACCGCTCCTCCTTCGCATCAAAAGGAGTCCAGGCAGGCACGTCCAGCTGGGACGTCCAGCTGGGAGGAGACCGAGGGGTAGACCTAGGACCAGGTGGAGGGATTATATCTCTTCGCTGGCCTGGGAGCGCCTTGGGATCCCCCAGTCAGAGCTGGTTGATGTGGCCAGGGAAAGGAAAGTTTGGGGCTCTCTGCTGGAACTGTTACCTCCGCGACCCGACCACGGATAAGCGGGAGAAGATGGATGGGTTTTCGGACAAAATAATTAAAAAAATGTAATAAAATGAAGAAACAAGAAAATAATTGGTAAAACTTATTTTGATTCATTTTGAATGATCAAGTAATTCATTCTACACCAACAAATGGCATCGGAAGTCAGTTGTGACCGACAGTAATTATATTTACACAAACCAGACATCCATCTATGCATCTTAAAAATCCCAATGAGACCGTAATACTTAGTAATAAAATAAATATCTCATCGAGCAGGGAATAAGGGCCAGGTCTGTTTAGCGTCTCAGTCACTGATTATCCCTCTCTTCCTCCAGACTGATTTGGACTGACTTAAATGAAATTTAATGTAAAATTGGTTTATCGAGCGGCTGTTTGATCTCGACACCTTGTTTTAATCAGAGAGCATCCTCTTGATGTGCGACTCCCTCACTTCTTTACACACCCGCACGTCTTTTCTCCCTCCTGTAGTGACATTGAAGCTATTGACCAGGGAAGGGTCGATGTCGCAGCCGTCAGCGTTACCTGTCATTTAGAAAGCACTCCTTTTTTTCTCCTGTTGTTGTTGTGCCTGCTCACGGCACTGCTTGTCTTTCCTCTGCCAGGGAGAGCCAGGCTGTCCGTTTCAGCACATCCATCCACTCACTTTCACTGCTAGATGTAGGCCTTTCAGTCGCCCCCCCCCCCCCCCCCCCCCCTCATTGGGAATGAGTTAATCTCATTAGATTTACATCCATTTGCACAGAGTGCTCTGCCTGGAATAGAGCCACATTGAGACTACATTGATCTCTGACACATTATGGCAGCTAACAATCAAACATGTCCCTGAACAAGTAGCCTGTTATTTTTCTTCTTTTATTTAACTTATGCTTTTGTTGTTAAAGAGTAGTGCACCAAACACCATTTTAATACATTCTTCTTTGTCTAACCTACATAACCCACAATGCAATTCCACTGCCGACATGCAGGTGTATTTAATTAGCAGGGACTAACTTAGCCTCGAGCCTTTAGCCTGAAGCAGAGACAAGGAGCTTCACTGGTCCTTTGAGCCTCTTTCTTTTTCACTCCACTCCTCCAGATTTTTCAAATGTTCAAACTGTAGTCTTCAGACCTAACTGACACAGACTGAAGTGACACATGAGTCAATTCATCAGATTTTGCACAGCTCCCTCTAGAGCCACAAAAGCTTTCTTAATTCGGCTTTCTCCCACATGCAGCAGTACTCTCCAAGATCTATAAAAATGACTTTGATGTTTGAATTTCCTTAAATATTGAACCGGGGTTGTGTGTGTCTTAGTTTCTGAGAAGGAATCCTTGCAACAGCCCGGCTCTCATTAAAACTGAATGTGTCCGCCTCGCACTCTAATTTGAGTCCTTGGCTGGCGTGGGGGTCTGTCTGAAGGATCGGCATTGTGTCTTATTCACATGCCCACCGGGGAATCGCTTGATAATCACATGCTTCCATGAAAGGTAGCCAGCCTCCTGTCTCCCAGGGCTGCAGACCCCCTCTCAGCGCCATCACAGCAGCAGACACGTCACTGAGAGACTGATAGCCCGCCTCCTCTTCCTCCTCCACACTGTCAGTTTGCTCTTTACTAGGTAGGAGGGCCGGGATACAGCCCACCTAAATGTCATGGCTCTCATACTTGGAGAGAAAGAGTCTTCTGAGAAGTTTCCCACAGGCAGAGTGAGAATACCTGCCTCTAGGTTCTGAGAACAGCATGAAGCCACCTGCTGTTTGACGGGGATTTATTTAACTTTTAGGCAAGTGTAATCAAACCTTAGATCTGTAGTGCCGTGAAAAGAGAGTCGGAGGCGGTGTATTAAGAATGGAGTTCCAATCTTTATTATCCATTACTTTCAGCGAGGTTAACACATGCACTGCTCTGCCTGATGAGCTAGCAGGAATGGCAGCTAAAGCTACAGGTGTTCCCCACTAAAGGGTCCGTGTGGCAACACAATAAGCAAGGTGAATTATGTCCAATAACGTGTCACCACACAAGCCCCCCCAGAATTCACACATAAACAAAATCAGCATGGCGGGGAGGAACGACACGCCGACCCCCACGACTCCTGAGCACGGGAGTCGGAAAAGTGACTCCCGCCTGTGCGGCCCCCGGAAGGGGAGGGACCGGAACAACAGGTCTTAAATCCGTGACACGGGACGAGGCCGGGGGGCGGCCCCGTCGCGGAGGTCGAGCCAGCACCACAGGCTGGTCCAAGTCCAGGTGAGCAGCCTTCACCCGGTCCACCGAGACGTGCTCGGCCTTGCCACCCAGGTCGACCACCAGGTGCTTGTCCCCGTGCTCCAAGACCCGGAAAGGCCCATCATAAGGGGGCTGCAGGGGGCCTCTGTGCGCATCGTGCCGGATGAACACGTGCTCCGCCGAGCGGAGCTCTGCGGGAACCTGGGACACCTGAGTACCGTGCTGAGTAGTAGGGATCGGAACAAAGGCCTCAGCGGCGTCACGCAGGAAAGCCCGCTGGGCCGACGCCGACCAGGGAGCCGATGCATTTGGGAGGAAATCCCCCGGAACTCTCAGCGGCTGACCGTAGACCATCTCCGCTGTAGAACACTGCAGATCTTCCTTAGGTGCGGTCCTCAGGCCCAGCATCACCCAGGGCAGCTTGTCGACCCAGTTACCGTCCGTAAGGCCGGCCTTGAGGGCCGCCTTCATGGAGCGATGAAAGCGCTCGCAGAGACCGTTAGCCTGAGGGTGGTAAGCGGTAGTCCTGTGCAGCTTAACCCCCAAACCCCCTGCCACAGCGTTCCAGAGCTCGGACGTGAACTGAGAGCCCCTGTCTGAGGAAATGTCTGACGGGGTGCCAAAACGACACACCCACGTTGCAATGAAGGCCCGGGCAACGTCTGCGGCTGATGTCGAAACGAGCGGAACCGCCTCCGGCCAACGGGTCGTCCTGTCCACCATGGTGAGGAGGTAGGAAAACCCCTGAGAGGAAGGCAACGGACCAACCAGGTCAATGTTGACGTGATCAAACCTCCTCTCAGGCACCAGGAAACGCTCCAACGGGGCCTTCGTGTGGCGGTGCACCTTAGCGCGTTGACAAGCCACGCACTCCCTGGCCCAAGTCCTCACGTCCCTTTTCAGTCCTTGCCAAACGAACTTCGCCGCTACCAAACGGACCGAAGGTTTAACGCCGGGGTGTGACAGGCCGTGCACAGCCTCGAACACAGGACGCCTCCAGCTGGCAGGGACGACAGGCCGCGCCAGGCCCGTAGAGACGTCACACAGGAGAGTAATGCCCGCGTCGCCGAACACCACGTCCTCCAAGCGCAGCCCCGCGCTCTCCACCTTCAGGGCCTGGACGCCGGGATCTGTGACCTGGTCTGCCGCCATGCGAGTATAGTCCAGGCCCAACTGGACGGCACCGATAACGACCCTGGAGAGGCAATCAGCAACCAGGTTCGACTTGCCAGCCACGTGCTTAATGTCCGTAGTGAACTCCGATATGTAGGACAGCTGCCGCTGCTGACGTGCCGACCAAGGCTCCGCCACTTTTGACATGGCGAAGGTGAGCGGCTTGTGGTCGACAAACGCCGTAAATTCACGGCCTTCCAGCATGAAACGGAAGTGCCGCACGGCCAAATAAAGTCCGAGGAGCTCCCGGTCAAAGGCGCTGTATTTGCGTTCTCTAGGCGTCAGCTGGCGGCTGAAAAAGGCGAGCGGCTGCCAAGCGCCCTCCACCCACTGCTCGTGCACTGCGCCGACCGCGTAGTCTGACGCGTCCGTGGTGATGGAGATGGGAGCCGTAGATGATGGGTGTGCCAGCAAAGCCGCCTGAGCCAACGCGGTCTTGACCTCAGCAAAAGCGCCGTCCGCCTCTGCTGTCCAGTCGATCTCCTGGACGGGGGTCTTGCCTTTCAACGCTTCATACAGCGGCCGCATGATGTGTGCGGCCCGGGCGATGAAACGGTGGTAGAAAGTCACCATCCCCAGAAACTCACGGAGCGACCGGGCTGTGAGCGGGCGAGGAAACGCCGCAACAGCCTCCACCTTCGCTGGCAGAGGTGTCGCACCGCCCTTGGTGACGCGGTGCCCCAGGAAATCGATGTCCGACACCCCGAACTGGCACTTTGCAGGATTGATGATTAATCCGTGTTCGTTGAGCCGTGTGAAAAGGGCTCGGAGGTGGGACAGGTGCTCCTGCACTGAAGCGCTGGCGACGAGTATGTCGTCGAGGTAAACAAACACAAACGGCAGGTCCCGCAGCACCGAATCCATCAGGCGCTGGAACGTCTGAGCGGCATTCTTGAGTCCAAAAGGCATCCGCAGGAACTCAAAAAGTCCAAAAGGCGTTATCACTGCTGTCTTGGGAACGTCCAGGGGGTGCATGGGCACCTGGTGGTATCCACGCACCAGGTCCACCTTGGAAAACACCCCCGTACCGGCCAGATGCGCCGAAAAGTCCTGAATGTGCGGCACCGGATAGCGGTCAGGCATAGTGGCGTCGTTGAGTCGGCGGTAATCCCCGCACGGGCGGAACCCGCCGTTCGATTTGGGAACGACGTGCAGGGGGGAAGCCCAAGGACTGTCGGAGCGGCGGACAATGCCCAGGCGCTCCATGGTTGCGAACTCCGCCCTCGCTACAGTCAGCTTAGAAGGGTTCAACCGCCGGGCCCTGGCGTAGACAGGAGGCCCCCCGGTAGTGACGTGGTGTTCCACGCCATGCTTAGTGGTAAGCGCAGAGAAGGTGGGTAGTGACAGGTCTGGAAACTCGGCCAACAGTCTGAGAAACGTGTCTGCACCTGACAGCGAGCCTGACAGCCCGTCGTACGCTGCGCTGCCAAGTGTGCACACGAGGGAAGAAAACGTTAAGGCATCAACCAAACGCCTATTCTTAACGTCCACTAAGAGTCCATGAGCACACAAAAAATCCGCTCCGAGGAGGGGAAAATAAATGTCCGCTGTCACAAAATCCCAGCTGAAACGCTGTCCTCCGATGCACAAACACATAGGCCTCACGCCGTACGTGCGAATGGGACTGCCGTTAGCCGTCGTCAATCGCGGTCCGTGCCCCCCACGGGCGACGTCTTCACTCGACGCTGGAACTACGCTCCGTTGAGCGCCCGTGTCACACAGAAACAGGCTCCCCGAAACGCTGTCGCTGACGAAGAGGAGCCTGCACGTGCCGCCGACGCTCAGAGCCACTACTGAGCGCCGGCCCCTCCGTTTCCCGGGGGTTTGTAGCTGCACGGAGCGATGCATCTCTTCGCCCTTGTCCCGAAACGTGCGTGGTAAATGCACTCTCCGGCGTCTCCACGCCGGCTAGCCACAGCCGTGTCCGGCCTCCGCCACGCTTTCTTGACTGCCGGTGGGCCGCTGAGCGTCGCGGCTAACGTCTCTGCCCCGGGCTGTTGCGTAGCCAGGAAAAAACGATCCGCTTCCTCAGCCAAAGCACGGGGCTCCGTGACAGGCGTGTTGGCCAGCGCCGTCTGTACCCGGGGAGGCAAGTGACGCAGGAAAATCTCCGTGAATAAAATACGGGGATCTTCCCCCCCTAGCAGATTTAGCATTTTCTCCATTAGCTGGGATGGCTTGCTGTCTCCTAGGCCTTGAATGTCAAGTATCTGGCGGGCCCTCTCCTTAGCAGATAAGCTAAATGTCTTAAGGAGAAGGGCCTTAATCGCCTCATATTTGCCATGATGTGGGGGGGGCTGCGATGAATCCCACCAACCTGGATGACGTGGAGCTCCCCAGCGCTGCTACCACATGGTAGTATTTTAGGTCTCCGTCACGGACCTGTCGGCAGGCGAAATGTGCCTCCACGTGTGCGAACCATGCCTCCGCGGTGTGCTCCCAGAATTCCGGCAGCTTTATGAAAACATCGCGCTCAGCCATGTTCGTTAATTTTCCGGAAACTTTCTCGGAAAAGTCAGGGTCACCAGTGTAGTGCCGTGAAAAGAGAGTCGGAGGCGGTGTATTAAGAATGGAGTTCCAATCTTTATTATCCATTACTTTCAGCGAGGTTAACACATGCACTGCTCTGCCTGATGAGCTAGCAGGAATGGCAGCTAAAGCTACAGGTGTTCCCCACTAAAGGGTCCGTGTGGCAACACAATAAGCAAGGTGAATTATGTCCAATAACGTGTCACCACAGATCACAGTTATATGTTCAGTTGCGCTGTGATTCATTCATGTTCTCTTGTTCTAAGTTGCTCTTTGATGGGCAGATTTAATTATGGATCAACACAACTCTGTAAAGTATGTATATTCACCGGTGTTCACTCTCTGTCCTAAACGGCTTGTTCGATCTCCTGCCCCCCCCCCTCTCTGTGAGCCCAGTGTGCTCTGATTGGTTGAGAAGCTGACAGGCTCATTGCTGCTCGCACACACACAGACACACACAGACACACACACTGCTGCGGGCTGCTGCAGGAGCAGACAGGCTTGGCGATACAGCGAGAACAAGCTAAACTCATCCTGAGCACACACAAACACTGTGTAAAAACAATAAGTGTGGCTTGATATTGAGTAAGAAAAAGGTTTATAACGCTGTGAGCATGGGTCTGCGGAGAGCATTTCTCCGCGATCACAACGTAGTAGCCCGAAAAACGTCATAAATACACAAACAACAATGAATACTTACAGGTTGTGGACCCGAATCTCCCGCTGGTCCAAACAAAGTAGGAACAGCATCGTTCTTCTGTGCCCTACGCTGTACATATCCGGCATGAATCGCTGAAAGGTTTGGGAAGCTTTGTTTCGTGAAAGGCTGGCAGAGGGTGCGGCCATAGCTCTGGGCGTGGCTATAGCTCTGGGCGTGGCTACTGGGTATCCCTACGTAGCGATACCCAGGAAGAAAATGAGAAATCTCCAACGAGGCGTTTTGGGGAGGCATTTTCTGTGTTAGAGTTTTACTCGCTACAGGGTGTACTTTCAGGGTTTGTGACTCTGCAGACCGTTTAGATGCATAAAAACCTTCATAACACACAAGGGGACGGGTAATAACCGGAAAAGCATGACATGGGACCTTTAAAATCAATACATTTACAGGCAGAATCAATTAATGGATGTTATCTTAATATTAACACAATTTATAGGGCTTTGTAAGCCGTTGAATTACTGACCCTTGTCTAATTAATAGTCAGGCTTTTGCAACAGAAACACTCAACAAACCCAGCTAACTACAGTACATATCTATTTCACGGCCTGTATTAACTGACTGAGGGTGTTTTCAATTTATTTAAAGGGGGCCTATCATGCAAAATGCACTTTTTGATGTCTTTTATACATAAATATGTGTCCCCGGTGTGTCAGGGAACTCACAAAGTGTCAGAAAACAAAACCCTCTCGATTTTTTTCCGTACCCAAATCTCTAAAAACGGGGGTACAACGGAGCTGATCCAGATTTGCGTCCGATATGACGTAATATCGGTAATGCAGACCCACAGCACTATCAGAAACGTTGCTATCAGAAACAATGCCCGACTGCTTTGGACATAATATGATCTTTGTTTACATTAGCAAGTATCGCTAACACTCAGAGCTAACCTGTACTGGAGAGAGTATGTGTAAAAAAGCAGGAAATAAAAACAGGAACTCACCTTATGGTAAACCCGCAAGAGAAAAAACATTTGAGCTCCATACCGTTTCAGAAATAATCCTTGATGTGGTTTGGAACATGATATGGCATTTAATCACGGCAGCATTTAGCTGAGTGTCTCGTAGAACTTTGAGCAGGCACAAGCTCCTCTTTTTTTTTGTTCAAGCTAAGAATCCAGATCAGCAGTTCTCTAACAGGGCTGAGACAGAGGGATATGAGGGATGTCTAAAATGCATGATCTGTTTGGTATTTTGAGCAAAACACTTCATAGACATGTTTTTTATATATTTTTATATATCTGAGACCCATAATATATGCCTAAAAATAGCGTAATAGGAGACCTTTAAGTAAACCACCCTTTTTTTTCAGTCCTCAGCCAAGAGTCTGCGCGCAACCATCGGCGACGCATTTGAACGCCTCCACCGCTTCCTGCGCGAGCGTCAGAAGAGCATGCTGGAGGAGCTGGAGATGGACACGGCTCGCAAGCTGGCCGACATCGAGCACAAGATCCAGCGCTACAGCCAGCAGCTGCGCGACGTCAAGGAGGGCATCCAGATCCTGCAGGAGCGCCTCAACGAGACGGGGCGACACGACTTCCTGGAGGGAGTCGCCGTCACATCTGAGAGGTGCTTCACCTGCCCTGAGTTTGATAGAGCAGTCCCAGTGTCATCACTGCAGACCGATAAGAACAAAAATGTGGTTGTAAACACATTCGCTCCAAGAAGGTTTTTATCAACTCTTAAAGTCTCGTGTGAACAGTTAAAGTTAAATATTTGCTGTTACATTTGTTATGATACCCCCCCCCACACCACACACACACACACACACACACACACACACACACACACACACACACACCTACAGCATGCCAATTGTGTGTTCTGCCAGTGTGAAACGTGAGGCTGCTTACATTTTGGAGAGAGTCAGAATATCCCTGAACAGATGGCATATTAGGCCTGAAATACACCAGCTGCAGTGTTTAATCTGCGAGGGGCACTTGAGGATGATTTCATTAAAGGGTTAAGTATATTTGAGTGAATTAATGAGTTTTACAGAATACCACAATATCTTTAAAGTAACAATATCAACAGGTTTTTGTTTTATTTAATATTACTTATCCTAGCAGAATTATATAATTTAAGCATCTGTACGTAAATATGGTGGACAAACAGCTATGATTTTCGATCAGCTCAAAACATGTTGGATTTTCACGGTTTCATTAAGTCACACTTTAGTAACAGAGACCCCACAAACCTTTTATAAAACACCGCATGAGTAAGACTTATTTTAATGTTCATTTTTTTTCATTTCTTAGGTTATTTGTGGTGCATTGTAAGACATAACGTTTCGGCATATATATATATACACATATATCCAATATATCCCTTTTTCAATATGTTGTTTTCAGGATTTTTCATGTGGAAAGCGACCCACTCAATATCTTTCCTGAACGTTGGAGTACATGTAGGGGTGATTCATGTGGAGGTTCATATTGAATGATATTGTAATGGTGTTAGACTAATATGTTCATCTCTGTTGCTGCAGATTTATGAGGCAGTCTGTCAGCTGATAATTTAAATAATGGCAGATTTCAAAGGCTCATACCACAATGAAGCATCAACTTTGTTGGTTGAACAAGAGGCAGTATTATTTGGAGGAAAGAAGCTAATTGGATTAAGACAGTTATTGATCTGGTTTTTTATTTATTTTTTGTCCCGCCAGGATTAAAGGGAAGATACATGAGACCAATCTGACGTATGAAGATTTCCCGACATCAAAGTACATGGGGCCCTTACAGTACACGATATGGAAGTCGCTTTTCCAAGATATCTCACCAGGTATGTGAACAAAACTGGAACAAATGTACATACAGTAAGCTAACTCATTAACATGTTTTATCTCTTCTGTTAAATCCGGGGGGGGGGGGGGTTGTGTTTGTGTTTATACTGTTATGATGCGGTTGCACAGTTGCCAATTTAAACCACTAACAATTGTTGTTTAGCCAGCTTTAGAGTGTGGTGGCACTTCAAATGTGGAAACAGAATCAAACCATTCAGCTGTCTTTGTGTTATTTTATTTCTTCCAAGAAAGGTCAGTCAGCCTTACAGAGAGCGTACTGTCAGCAGAGTGGAAGACGTAGACCAGAGTTTGCGTTTCATATTCAAACACAGAGAGGAGAAAGGAGGGGTTAAGGTTGGTGATAATAAAAGGCGCATTCTGGAAGTTAGGGAGGGAATATCAGGATGTTCTCAGTTCAGCTGAAGTTGAAGGTCATACTGTTGGTGCACAACATCACAACAAATCTTCTTAATAAGGACCTTTCCCAAGCTTAGATAAGAGGTGAAAGCCAGTCAATGGAAATACACATTAGCAAGTAAGAATAACACAATGGTATTATTAAAGTCAGTAGGTGAGTTAAATACTTTTCTGTTACAAGAGCTGCTGGTAGGATGTTTTTTTTTGCCTTTGGACAGAGGAATTACAAAAGCTCTTTTCAGTCTTTATGCTAAGCTAACTATCTTATTGCTTATTATTTAATTTAACAATCATATGAGAGATTGGTATCAGTCTTTTAATCTAATGCTACTATATATATAAACAACCATATTTCTAAAATGTATTACTGCTCCTTTATTTGATTATCTAATGTTCCTTCAGTAGCTGATGTCTGACTCAAAAACAGAGTGCAGACGATATGTTCTGACCTGAATTTGGATTGCTGGGATGCTTTTGGCTTTGTTTTGCCTCCTTGGATGAGATATGGTGTTGGACCTGAAGGGCGGAGATGCCTCTCTGTGTTTGACAGCACTGAGAGGAGCTCCCCTCCCTCTGCCCTGCAGCCATCGCTCACTCAGAGGAGATTATTGAAAATAATGTTCGGAGGAATTGTTCACTCCCTCAATCACTTCTCCCATTTCTGCCTGCTGAGGGGAGGCCAGGCCGGGTTTTTGTTGGCCTCCCTTGACTGGCTGCCAAATAGAACAATTGGTTACGATCCATCACCAGCAGTTGCCAGGCATAAAATAAAGACATTCCTCCCATCATCCCTCATCACTCGCTGGCACTGATGGGTTAGTGGGAATAACTACCCGACACTGTCCTTTTTTTCCACCCCTCTCATGTTCAGCAGGAAAAATGGTTTCTCCACTGATGTGTGTCCGCCTGCAGGTTTCTCTGTACGACACAAAGAGGCACTCAGGTTATGAAATTGTAATGACTTGATTGTAACAAACACTGGATCTGTCATTGACAGGAGAAGGCATTGTCTTGTCCGCTGGCCGGGCGCCAGACATTTCACCTCCTTTTATCCCGGCTGATATAAATATAGATGAACTGAAAGAAATGTCTGAGAGCAAAGAGAACAAGCCGTTATTGTTCAGCCTGATATGGTTCCCTAATAAGCAGACATGGCTGCAGATAATCCTTTCCTAAAACCCCAAACTACACAGAGAAACAGCTCCTACGGGCCTGTGGAGCGAGTGGCTCCTCCCATCGCTGTAATTACTGCTTCACTGTATTGTTTGCACTCAGACTGTGGTCTGATATTGCTCAAATCAAGCTTCCCCATCAGACTATGGGGAGCTTTAGACTTTGAAGAGTCTAGTTCATGCATGAAGGTAAAAACAGATTGTAAAAAATGTATCCAATGCACTCGTTGCTCTTTAGTCTGAAATAAAAGTTGAGTAGCAGTTTGTGTGCACGGTATAATAACAAGCCATCAGAACTCTTTAACCACAGGGCATGGCTTTAATCACCTTATCTCACTCTGGCAGTGCTGATATTTTACATTATGTAATGTCTCCACCAGGTTATTTGTCTTAATGTGTCAGCTCATCCAAATTATAAAAAATATCTAGCAGTGTCTTGGCATTGAAATCATTTTGGTTTTACAGTATATGTCCAGGTTTCGAAAGAATTAGCTTAAAGTTTCCACCACACAACGGGTGCCTCCACAGCAAAACATTGGAGGTCCATTAAACAACTTAAAGTGGACCTATTATGCTATATTTGACAAATATATTGTAGTGCCATACCTATACAAAACATGTCTGTGAAGTGTTTTTTGCTTAAAATACCAAACAGATCACCCATTGTAGCCATGCCTCATACTGCTCATACCCCTCTATTACAGCCCTGTTCCAAACAGGCTGATTCTGCTTTAAATGGAACGGCTGCTGCTAGCCACGCCCCTTTGTAGTGTCACGCAGCTTTCCCCGAGAAACTGCATTGTTTCTGACACAGCACATAGCTTGACATGTTCTTTATTAAGTGTTTACCGCTAGAACAGTGCCATTATATTTATTATATATAAGAACTTTACTCTAAGTGCCTCCTGCAGACATCCTGCTAAATACACAGACACACAGCTGCGAGAGCCGATTCAGCTATACGGAGACGATTGGTTGGGACGTGTCAAGCGTGCCGGAGACGTTAGGTTGGGACGTGTCATGCGTGCCGGAGACGTTAGGTTGGGACATGTCACGTGTGCCGGAGACGATAGGTTGGGACGTGTCACGTGTGCCGGAGACGATAGGTTAGGACGTGTCACGTGTGCAGGATGTCGCCAATGACGTAATAGGAGCGAAAATTCTGGATCTGCTTGTTAGCACCCCCGTTTTTTTTAGAGATGTGGGTACGGAGGAAAAGAGAGAGGGTTTTGTTTTCTGACACTTTGTGAGTTCCCTGACACACCGGGGACACATATTTATGTATAAAAGACATCAAAAAGTGCATTTTGCATAATAGGTTCCCTTTAAACAACTAATACGGAGGAAATATTTTCTTAATACAAACATTATTCCGATGAAAACTGTCCACAGTATGGAGAGCTGCCACAGTTACCTGGACATTGTTTTTGGAAAGATGCTATACTGATTATTTTTGTCATTTTCATGTAATTTGTACAAGTGTCCTATAGCAAACAGGTTTCAAGCGTTTACCATGTAAATGTAATATCCAAGTATAATTGTGTCTGCGGACCATTGTTGCTTGTTATCCCCTCTTGCTCTCCCCCCGTCTTTGCTGTCTCTCTCTAATGTCAAAACTGTCTAAGAAATGCCATAAAAGAAATGTATCAGTGCTTCGGGGCGCCACGAAATAAATGTCATAAACCTCCACTGTGGTAATGGGATTTAAAATCTGGGAGGACAGGATGGTTGACTCAGCAAAATGTAATGGACACAAATAGTTTAGAGCAGGGGTACTCAAACTTTTTTTTTTAAAGGTCCACTTGTGAATTTTATACAAGGTCAATGGTCCGGATCAATGCCAGTAAAGTAAAAGGAAATTAAGAAGCAGTTTGCACTATGCATGGGGCCCCCTTAAGGGGGTTTCCCGACATGTCGTTGCAGTAAATTAAAGGGTCTTTCATGTTGTCGTTGCTGTGGACCCTCTTAATCTTTTTTTTTAAAATGTTTACGTTTATTCTGATTTGTTTTGTGTTTGTATCTTTTATTTTAATTTATTTATTTATTTTATGTTTTGTGAGCTGAGCTGTGTGGTTTTATATTGTATGTATCTCTCTGTACAGCACTTTGGTCAGGAGGTTTTAAAGTGCTATATAAATAAAGTTGGATTGGATTGGATGAATCTACTTTATTTGGGGGCCCCCTGCTGTTCCAAGCACTTGCCTGTCGGTAAACGGCGCCCCTGTATACACACACACATTCAATACATATGGCTTGAACTAGTGGGAGAAATGGCACTGTTTGTCTGGAGCCAATGCCTTGAACCTCGGCAAAAATGGCATTAGAAAGTCAAGGTAAACTTGCGGTTAACTTAAATGCATGTCACGCTCGCGCACACAAGTAAATATATATGCACGTTCATTCTCACAACGCGTCAGATACAAGAAAATATACATTAAAGGGGAGCTATCATGCAAAATGCACTTTGTGATGTCTTTTATACATAAATATGTGTCCCCGGTGCGTCGGGGAACTCACGCAGCGTCAGAAAATAAAACCCTCTCTCTTTTCCTCCGTACCCAAATCTTTTAAAAACAGGGGTACAAGGGGCAGATACAGATTTGCTGCCGATCTAACGTCAAATCGGCAGCGGACCCACAGAAAGTTGCTATCAGAAACAATGCCTGACGCGTTTTGAACGTGTTTTGGACGTAATCTCGTCTTTGTTTACATTAGCAAGCCTCACTAACACTCAGAGCTAACCTGTACTGTAGAGCACATGTGTTTAAAAAGCAGGAAATCAAAAAAGGAACTCACCTTGTGATAAACCTGCAAGAGAAAAAGCATTTGAGCTCCATACTGTTTCAGAAATAATCTTTGATGTGGTTTAGAACAGGATGGCGTTTTATCACAGCAGAATTTAACTTTATCTCCGGTAGAATTCTGATCAGGCATTAGCTCCGCCTCCTCTGTTCTTTTTTTTTCAAGCTAAGGACCCAACATCCGAGTTTCGGGTTTCTCTAACAGGGCTGCAAAAGAGGGGTATGAGCAGTATGGCTTAAATGGGTGAACTGTTTGGTGTTTTAAGCAAAAAACTTCACAGACATGTTTTGTATAGTTAAGACCCTACAATATATTTTTTCCAATATAGCCTAATAGGTCCACTTTAATTTACATCAGAATCAGAATTTTCTTTTTTTGAATAATTTTTTTTCTTTTTATAATTTTTAATTTTTTATAATAGGACACAGGGTTTGGTCCGGATTGATTTGCAGTTCGGTCCGGATCCGGACCTTGGTCCGGAGTTTGAGAAGCCCTGGTTTAGAGGGTTGATAAGGAATCAGCATTATCGAAATAATAATATTTCCCAATGTAGTCCTTGTGGATTGTTTTTTGATAAAATAGAAGTGCATCTGTTCCATGAGTCAGCAAAGTAAAGGACGCCAATTACACTTTCTGTGTGGATCACCCTTAAAGGCAGAAACACATACTTTTCAGTGCCCTCCTGGACAAAACATAACATTTTCAGTATGTATTTTCCAACCAGACGTACATTTGTTTTTAATCTGCGGCCTGTGATAAAACCTCCTCAGTGTGAGCGTCTCAAATATCAGTTCATAAACTTGACCTCACCTCTCCTGTAAAGTGCCTGAGCAGCCTGGATATATTTACTCACTACCTCAGCATAAAACTGTTCACACAGCGTTTGCTATGATAAAGAAAAATGAGGCTCTAAAAATAACACTGCAGTTCTCGCTTTTCTGTTTGTCCAAGCTGAGTCATAACATATCGATGTGTTTGCTTTGTTTTTTTCATACTTACTTATTACCACGACTGTCCTGTTTATCTGGGATGTTATCTTCCGTAACTGAATATTAAATTGTCGTGTCAAATTATCATATAATCATTTAAAACCTATAGTCTTATACTCTGATTGCCTTTTACACTGTTCAATTGTATTTTTAGTCTTGTATGTCTTGTATGTGTTAAGGATTTACATTTCAGGAGGGCTAAAGGAAGTGTAAAAGAGGGATATGCAAATGTTAAGGACAAGGGGGTTTAATGGTGGGGTGTATGACCAGTTGGCTGATTCCTTTCATGAGTATATAGTGGGGCTGTAAGCTGTGTTCGGGGTGCAGAACTTATTTTTGCCTCTGAGAATGAAGTTGCTCTGTTCCTGCATTTGAGATCGATTTCACTTGCATATGGACTTTCTTTATTACTTTATTAAATATAACAAAAGACAAACTTTGTCCATTAATCATTTATCAGTTTCTCTTAAAGTGGATGTTGCATAATAATGCAACATCCACTTTTTCACGTCTTTTATACTAGGGATGCCAGCAATTTTTCGAATATTCGTTACAGTCTCCATAATCGAAAATTATTTATTAAAATTCGATTTTATTTATATATATTTTTATTATTATTTATGTTTTTCTTTTTTGTCCTGGCTTAGTTTCAACCAAAATATAGACTAATGCTAATAATAGTAATAGTATTAATAATTGTAAATGGTAATTGGTCTCACCACCAGTTTGTTTTACTGTAAACTTGGACCCCTGCCCCCCCCCCCCCCTTCTCCGTCACACCCTGCGATTGCTTTATTGGCGATATACAGAACAGTGAGAACAACACAACTAAAGATGAACAAAGCGGTACGTTCAAAGAAAAGTTCCTCGTGGAACTACTTCGAACTGACAAGTGCAAATGACTGCGGCGAAGAATAATCGATTAATATTCGCCAGGGCTGTCCGATTTTGTCCTGATCCATTTATATAAAAACCTGTCTGAAAATGAGCTGATCAGATTTTGGCCACTTTGTGATGTCATAACGATTTTTTGGCTTGTGTAACCATTAGCCAATCAGCAACCAAGGTAACACCCGCCCACTTTATCACCTGAATCTCCTCCTAGAGCCCCATTGTGTTCTTTTTAACCAAATATCTCTCAGAGGGGCGTGGGGAGTGGCTCCTTATTTTCATCTAAAGTAACAGACAGAGAATCAGCACTTTTGAGAGGGGATTATGGGATGCTGCAATGGGTGATCTGTTTGGTATTTCGAGCCAAACACTTAAGAGACATGTATATATCTGAGACCTATTATATATTGATGAAAAACAGTATAATAGGGGACCTTTAAACATTTCCTCCACAGAAATAAATGCAGATTCTTGGTGCTAAAACTATCTCTGCTATTCTCTTGTCCTCCTCAGTGCCAGCAGCGTTGACCCTCGACCCGATCACAGCCCACCAAAGACTGATCCTCTCAGACGACTGTACCATAGTGGCCTACGGGAACCTCCACCCGCAGCCCCTGCAGGACTCCCCGCGGCGCTTTGACGTTGAGGTATCCGTTCTGGGCGCAGAGGGCTTCGTGTCGGGGGTGCACTACTGGGAGGTGATGGTGTCGGAGAAGACCCAGTGGATGATCGGCGTGGCCCACGAGACAGTCAGCCGCAAGGGCAGCATCCAGATCCAGCCCAGCCGCGGCTTCTACTGCATCGTCATGCACGACGGCAACCAGTACAGCGCCTGCACCGAGCCGTGGACCCGCCTCAACGTCAAGAGCAAGCTGGAGAAGGTGGGGGTGTACCTGGACTACCACAAAGGCCTGCTCATCTTCTACAATGCAGACGACATGTCCTGGCTCTACACCTACCGGGAGAAATTCCCCGCCAAGGTCTTCCCCTACTTCAGCCCGGGCCAGAGCCACGCCAACGGCAAGAACGTGCAGCCGCTGCGCATCAACACTGTGCGCCTCTAAGAGCTGACGCATCTGTGGTCCTGAGAGATCATTCACAGGACTTGTGGAGGTTTCAAAAAGATATTCAGTTTTAAAAAGTGTTTAATAAGGTGTTTGAAATGTTTTTTTCTTTCAGTTCAGTTCAGAGTTGTGTTCGATGTTGCTCTTAAAGTCCTGCGCTGTTATTTTTGTGTCACTTGA